ATTTAAAAATGTTCATTTGAAAATAGGCCTTTTAAGGCTGGTTAAAAAAACTATAACTTTGTGAGCAGATACTTTGACTATCCGACGCTGCTATTATCAAACTTAAGGGTTAAACATTGTCTATATTCTCTTGATAGTATTTGTGATATTTTAATTTTAAAGTGAGTTAAAAGCATTTTTAAATATAATTTTACATACTAATAGTTTGGTTAAAGATTAAAATATTGTTAGAAACTAACTATAGCACATAGATAATGATCCAACCTTTAAGTTAATAGATAAATTTATAATGTAAGCAATCTTCCCAAAATTATTAAAGCTTACAACACAAAATCGGAACTGCTGAACATAAATTTTGGTAAGTTGTGTGTTAATAAATTAAGGTCAACTCATATTCTCATGTATATAACATTCATTTAAATATTTATAAATATGTGCTATAATATATTAGCTTTAAATAAGTATTCATATGTTATTATTTTACATTTTAGAATATACAAATATGTTTGAAATATTTTTTTGCCACCATTTTATTATCAAATCAATTTTTTCAATTTAATCTGTCAGTTAGCTATATATTAAATGTAAATACTAATGACCAGAGGTAATATTTAAACCAATGCTTAAAACAGATACATAATACAGTAGGTATTAATCATCATAATTTCTATAATTAGTTGGTTATTGATTAAAATTCCTTTAAATGTTTTAATTTAGGTACATATGTACTCGTATTTGAACTGTAATGAATTGTCTTTAAGTTATATTGTTGATTATATGTATATTATTATTTTCAGAAAAATGTCTGGTATTGCATTAACTCGATTATCAGAAGAACGTAAAGGATGGAGGAAAGATCATCCATTTGTGAGTACTAATTTGCTTTAAAACACTACATGTTATGAGTTAAAACAATATATTTTTTTACATCTTAAGGGTTTTGTCGCTAAACCAGGCAAGAATCCAGATGGTTCTTTAAACCTTATGGTATGGGAATGCTATATACCTGGAAGAAAGAGTGTAAGTATTATTAACATTTTTATTTAATTTTATACCTGTGTCTGATTATGATTGCAAGGTTTTAAAGAAATATCTTTTTTTTAATTAAAACATTTGTTCTKGATTAGAGCAAAATACATCTATTACCAAGGTGTTTTGTATAAATTAAATATAGTCTAAATAAATTATTTTGTATGATATATGTATGTTAATTTATTGGAATTAGTACCTCTAAATTGAAATATGTTGCAAGTATTGTAGTGCACTTTTTTAAACATAATATATAATATAATATGGCTAAAAAAACTTCAATATGATTAATGTTTCCTTTTTTCTATGGTCTAAATTTCAAAAACTCATACAATTCGTAATCTTCAAAATTCTAGTATACTTTTGAATTTCATGTTATTTATTTATTGTATCATGAAGAAAATAACAATTTTTGATGGTGAAAATAACTTATTAAAAAAAAAATACAGCATAATATTGTAAAATTGATAGTTTTCACATTTTTACTCCTAATGAAAACTATCCAATAGGTAATATAACTGAGAATATCTAATCTTACATAAATTTGATTATAGCTCTAATTTTGTTACAAAGTCTATGGGCTTATAATTTATCTTGTGCATTGAGAGTCTAGTTTTTAGAATTTAGAGTGAATTGACCTATTATAAAAATTAAAGGCACAATATTATTATCCAGGGCATCTAATGGGCTTTTTATTATATTTTAATTTTAATGCAAGTTATGAATATTTTTAGATATACAAACAATTAAATCAAACAATTATTTTTAAATATTCATAACTCGCATTAAAATTAAAATATAATGAAAAGCCCTAGATAATAATCATGCCTTTAGTTTTTATAATAGGTCARTTCTCTCTACATTTTAAACTAACGGAGATAACATAATCTACTGAGCGTACAATTTGCTATGCTACACACTTGTACGACAAAAATAGCAAGTGCTGGTGTGGCATCCTTTTAATTACCTAATCTCCATTATATTTTTGGATCGGAGCATTTTCTTTCATTTATGTATATTCAGACGCATCGTTATATTATGTATATTTAAAAACACTATAAAACCAATATAATTATAAATACATATTTAACAGATGTATGTATGCATGTATAAATAAATGCATTTAAAAAAAATTTCATATTAATATATTTTTTAGACTCCTTGGGAGAATGGAATGTACTTCCTACGTATGATCTTCAAGGACGATTATCCATCCAGTCCACCAAAATGCAAATTTGAACCTCCTTTATTCCACCCTAATGTTTACCCTTCCGGTAAATATAATATTAGYTTTATTAATCATATCTATTWTATATTTTTAAAATTGAATTTATAAATATGCATGAGGATTTTTCATGATTAATTAGGTACAGTGTGTTTATCACTATTGGATGAAGAAAAAGATTGGCGTCCAGCTATTACTATTAAGCAGATATTGTTGGGGATACAAGATCTATTAAATGAGCCCAACATCAAAGATCCTGCTCAAGCAGAAGCATACACTATTTATTGGTAATTATTGTTTAATATAAAATATACAGTTTAGCTTTAAAAATATTTGTAAGTATAAGACTCATTTAAGTAAATAAAGGTATGTCATACATCAATCTATATATCACACAATCTCACATGTGTGGTTTTCATAGATATATAAAACCTACTAGATGGCTGACTACTAACAAGTCCTTTTCAATGCGTTTATTTGCCATTTGTTGTGTGGATAATGTTAACTTTTTCAGACTTCTATACTAACTAGATAAGCTACTCTCATATTATTTAGATTGGTATCAGTAAAACTCACATGGGGGCGATTGTAATTTTGTCGGTTGGCACACGCAAAATGTACAAGGATTAAATCAAATTACATAATGTTTTAAAAGTGAGATAAAATAATAATGACAAAATCATCTATATCATTTTATTTTTATCTTTTTGTTACAAACAAGTCTAGAAATAATAAGATACAATACAACATCAATTAATATTTACCATATATACTATATACATAAATGATATAACATACTATTTGCCAACTGAGAAAATGGACGAACCCAGCTACAACTTATCCCTGGAGTTACTTATTTAGTTAATATAGAAGTCTGTGTGTTTACATTATGCTAATGTGATAACTGGAGTTTGTGGGCTGTTAAAAACTTTTAATACATTTTTATATCTGGAATTAAGACTGTGGTTATACTGGGAATCTTGGGATTTTGAACTTTGACAAAGTAGCTAACGACTGTACATTTGTTCAATTGTTCAATTTTATTTGTATTTGACTATAAATATTATTTAAATAGTTTCAGTACTTAATATAACTATGGTGATGTCTTGTTCTGCGTTTTGGTGTAAAAAWACCAAGCCTAGAACGGTAATAATCTCAGGTTTTTTTTTTGTTGTAAGTTTCAATATCTGTTTTTCTTTTTATTGTCAAAGCAGACATTTTTAACAATTTAGTTTAATATATAAGTACATTCAATATGTAGTTGTGTTGTAATTTAATTTTTGTTTTATTTGTTAAATATTGCATTCTTTGACCATTTGTTAATTGTTATAAATTAAAAGCATCAGAAATTCATAAAAATTATTTCAGAATTCAGATATCAGTATATCACATATTCACACAATGAATATTTATTATTTTATTTTTTCGAAGTAAATGGTGTTATAATAATATGTGATAACAGATGTAAACAAACCCCATACAGCATATGGTGCCAAACTTCAATGTAATACATCGGATATATAGGAAATTGGCCATCTAGTAGTTTTGTATATTTATGGTTCCCTCCATCTTAAAAATGTTTAACATGACACATTTTTGTGCTAATAGAATTAATTGATCATTCTCTTACTTATAGCTAAAACTTTTAGCTGCTAAAAGATCATGAAAGAAATAAAAATTGATTTATTGTCATTATGAAATTTAATAGTACATAAAAAAATTTAAATCCCACCATTGTTTTCCTGTAAAATTGTCAGGCTAGTTTTATATGTGATGTTAGTGATACATAGCTGAATGGCTTTTATGCCCATGTAAATATATATTTGTCATTTGTATAAGAGAATAATAATATACATATGCATACACCATACAGCAAGTTCTACACTAAGAATTGACTGAAAATGAAATCAGAACAAAATTATAATTGTATCAAGGAAATAAGTCTTATAAATATCTAAAATTTCAAGAAACTTAAAATAATAATTTTAAAAAATCCTAACAACTTGTACACTCTAGTCGATTAGACAATCACCATTTTAGACCATAATTATAATATAAATTAGGTTAAACTACTTACATTCAAAACCGGCTAGATTATTATGCTTTAAAAACAAAATATGACATAATAGCATTTAGTGGC